CATGCTTAACCATCTAGGAACACACGCACTTGGTCATGTCCAGTCACTTTTTGATGAATCTCTCTTCTCTGGTCGACTTCCGACGTGCTGGAAAGAAGCAAATATCCGCCCTGGTCCAAAGCTTCCTTCTCCAAATGCTTACCGTCCCATCTCACTACTACCATGCCTTAGTATAACTATGGAGCATGCAGTTTTGACGAGACTACGACATCTAGTAGCACAACCACACAATCACACATACGCCTATTGCAAAGAACTGGGTACCAAGGACAACTTAGCAGCCATCCACAGTACTCTAGACGGAAACGATGGTATCATCCTTTTCCCCGACTTGGGAAAACTAGTATTCGCATCCAAGGGATCGCTGAAAAACTCAATCCCTTGGATTAAAGCTAAACCCTGAAAAGACCAGAGCCCTACAATGCAGGCTATACCTCCATAACCTGTCCTTATATATACAGACCAGCAAGATTGATTCGGTCACACAGAATGACTCATCCCCTCAGTTAAGACATCTAGAGAAGGCAAAGACCAGGGAAAATATACTACGACGGCTATCAAGCTCCAAGATAGGAGCTGGCTTCCACGCCACCCAGGTCTTCTATATTCATGCCATATGATCACTTGTTGATTGCAGCTCTTTCTCAATCCTATCCATAAGTCCCGCAATGCCACAATCATCACTAAAAGGCTTTAGGAATGTGATGCCCTTGCAGCCGTACGACCGCACATACATCCTGAAGAGACTGTAGGAGCAAACTGTGCATATTAGAGTAGGAAAGGAATCTTAGATCACTCTTCGCATAAAGTATTATCCACTCTATGTACAACAAATACTAAAACATATTAAAAGGCCATAACAACAGCATAATAAAGACTAGGTGGCGACAGCTAAACCCAGACTACCTCTTCAACCAATAATGAAGTTAATAAAGATAGATAAATTAATTGATGATAATGATAATAATAATAGTAATGATAATAGTTCTGTATTAGGTTTTATATCTTTAACATAAGGCGACATTTTTATCGAGATGTCCATAGGGAATAAGACCATAGATTGATATCAGTTTTTAAATGCTGTCTACAAGGGCATGATTTAAAGTCATTTATGAATGTTATATATGTATGTGTGTTTTATGAATAAGTGAATATATATACATATATATATATATATATATTATATTATATATATATATATATATATATATATATATATATAATTATATATATATATATATATATATATATATATATATAATATATATATATATATATATATATATATATATATAATATATATATATATATATATATATATATATATATATATATATATATATATATATATATATATATATATAATATATATACATGTATATATACTTATTCATATATACATATATGTATATGTATATAGACATATATATATATATATAAATATAAATAAATAAATAAATATATATATATATATATATATATATATATATATATATATATATATATATATATATATATATTATATATACTATAAAGACACACATACATATATGTAATATGTATATAGACATATATATATATAAATAGATAAATAAATAAATAAATAAATATAATATATATATATATATATATATATATATATATATATATATATATATATTATATATATATATATGTATATATATATAAATATAAATATATATATATATATATATATATATATATATATATGTATATATATATATAATATATATATATATATATATAATATATATATATATATTATATATATATATATATATATATATATATAATATATATATATATTATATATATATGTATATATATATATATGTATATATAGATAGATAGATAGATAGATGATAGATAGATAGATATAGATAGATATGTATATATACATATATATATATATATATATATGTATATGTATATATATATATATATATATATATATATATATATATATATATATGTATATATATATATATATATATATATATATATATATATATATATATATATATATATATATAATATAATATATATATATATACACACATGTATATGTATAATATATTTGTGTGTGTATACTAGATACTAGAGCATTTGCCTTGTTTTCTCTTGATAACATGCACGTGGTCCTAACGCAGAAATGGGTCTTGGCTTTCAGGCTCTTTGCATCAAGAGGACGAGTCTCTGGCCAGACTCCGAGAGGCGCGGCGAGGAGGACGGGCCCCAAGGTCGCGGCAGATCCTTTGATGTCCTTGATGTCGACTGCGCCCACGCCGTCTGTTTCACGCGGTCGAGATGTCAACCTCGGGCGCGAACGCTTGGCAGGGCTCACAGAGTCTGGGGTGGTGCGTGTGACCCGTGCTAAGCAGTTATAGAACACTCTTTGCGCGACAAACCGGGCGTCACTTGAAAGTCTCACCCGCCTCTCTTATCGCGAGTGTGAAGTGGCGGCGCCAGATTGCAGTGGGTGTAGTTCATGCGGTCACGTTGATTTGCACCAATCATATATCTCTGGTGAGTTGCTTCGTTCTAATTAAAAACGGACGGGCGCCACCGTTATAAATACTGAGGCCTCGTGGCGACTTCAGTCTTTGCGGTTCCTCCCTTGCGAGTTGTGCGAAGAGACCGTGTTTTCCGGCTTCTGGAAGGTACGAGCAAGGTTTAGACCTTGGGTATGATTTCCCTGTTTCGTCACTTGGAAACACGCATCATGTTTTGTGGTGTAGAGATTGGAAGTTGAATTTACATTAGTGCAAATAAGTGGGGCGAATAGATTCACTCCATGGAAAAACAGTGTCTAAGAACATATTTGTTGATGATTATCTTATTGGCAGATGCGTCTGACTGTTGCAGTCCTTTGGATGGTCACCGGGACGGCGTGGGCGCTGGAGACCAGTGAGAGCAACATTTACGATGAACATTTTCCGCCACTTCATCCTAATTGCACTCAGGTATGTTCACTGAGTATGGACGAATAAGACAAAAGTCTGTCAATGTACATACATTGTGTCTATATGGAATCTGGAATGGGAAATTAGGGGTCTGTCAGAAAATTGGTCAAGCAACAACATAAAAAAGATTAAAGTTTTGCACCATAATCTTGGCTGGAAGCGCATTTGTTTAATGTCGTAATTGGTTTCATTTGTATGGCCGAAGTGTCATTTTTCGACCCCGGTGTAATTCCGTGTGCTTGCTTGCGTGACAATGCTCCTTTACGACTACAGAGTCTCACAGACCTTCTCTTGCTGCGCCAAGAAGTCCAGCTGAAAGAACTGAAGCAG